AAGTAGGAGAGAATATAAAATATGAATGATACTAGTTGAGAGAATGGTCTTAAGGAAAACAGAGAGAAAGCAACATGATTAGAAGTGAGGATTAGGATTCCATCCCTTAACTTTGGATTGTTTAAGGGAGAAGTACATTTTAAGAGTAGGCCACGGAAGGGACTCTTTGTCCAAACATATAAGAATTTGCATCGACTTTATTATCTTGGTGAGGGACAGATGACTTTGTAAACCTAAGGAAAGTTAGGGCTTTTCAGAGCAGGCTGGCCAGAAATCCTGCCCCTCGGCAAGTTTAGATTTCCTCTCCAAATCTCACATATTTGCTTAGGGCCAGATCCAACCTTTTGTTCTCAAACAATGCTGTATTCTAAAGTTCTTCTGAGGAGAATCCTGCCTCCTGGACGGGCCTGACATCTCAAAAAGCGAGTCAAAAAGACTTCCATGGAGTCACACAGAGTGAGAATCTGGCCCATCAATTTTCTGGGCTCCTTCTTTTTTTTTTTTAAAAAAGCACAGCCTGTAAAGGAAGCCAGAGGCTGTGTAGCTCAGCCCAGCGTGCAGGATGGCTGGCTTCGAGCAAAGCCGAAGCCAGGCTCAGGTGATCCCGTGCTCTTCCTGCAGCTTGCTGAAGTGAAGCCTTCCATGAAGGGCTCGAAGAGAGGGTACACCGTTTTGATTTGGGCATTTGTTTAATGTTTCCTAATCACACATACATCTTTTAGCTGTCCACTTCAGACTTTTGTCTGAATTGCTCATTCTTACAGAGTATAAAATACAGTTCTTTAACTTGTCTATTTAGAACTGGTGAAAATGCGGACCTAACTTAAAAAATGGTGTGTGTGCATATATGTACATCTACATACATAAAATGACCGTAGTGTTATATGTTAACTAAGATTCTTTATCTAAATGATAATAGATTGGAGTATAAAAATTCATCCAGGGGGTCACTCTGAAGTAGGAGAATCTGTAGGCAAACTAATATGGAGCAGAGACGGGCAACTGGGTGCCTTAGTTAGTTAAGCATCCGGCTCTTGATTTCAGCTTAGGTCCTGATCTCAGGGTCGTGAGATTGAGCCCTGTGTCAGGCTCTGAGTGTGGAGCCTGCTTAGGATTCTCTCTGTCCCTCTGTCCCTCCCCACCCTAATCACACACTCACTCTTTCTCTCTTTAAAAAAAAAAAAATTGGAAATGCAAGAAAAAAATTAATAGGTGTAACTCTTACATTCTTTGCAATAAGTGCCTTTTCCACTTCTTCCTTCTTGGATTTCCCATCTAGAGTTCTTATAAGTTTTTCCTAACAAAAAACTATTTTGAGTTGATGTCCTTAATTACACAAAACAGGAAGGCAAAGAAAGTTGAAGAACTACTTTAAGCTAAATTACTTTAAATTAAAATATTATGAATGAGTCTGAAAATATTTAAAACATCTAATGGTTTGAAACAAAGATTATACATAGTTTTAGCACAATTAGAACTCAGAGAATTCCTCTAATTATTTTCCCATGTAGATGTAGGTAACCAGTCCAAGGTCTCTCATCTAGTTAGTTAGAACAGATTGGAAGTGAAGGATCTCTCAATTTTTAAGCTAATATTCTTTCTACTTAGCTCTGTGGTCTTGGGAATAGTTAATGAATCTTTTCATGCTTCAGTTTCCTCCATGATGAAATGGGCATCATGATGATACATAATTCATAGAACTCTTTAGGAAAATTAAGTAATATATATAAAGTTCAGAGAAGAGCACCTAATACATGATAGGCCCTCTATAAATATTAGCTATATTGCTTACCACTTTGCCTTTCTATTAGTTTACTACGAAAAATAGTGTTTGAAATTAATCCTTTTGAGTGTTTAGCTACTGGAAATGTAGAATCAGTGATGACAGTATATCTTGGATGGGAATCAGAGATTTTTTTGTTTCTTTTCTTTCCTATTCCCAAAAAATGATTTTGTAGAGCATCTTCTTTATTCAAGCCTGATTACTTCTTAGATAATCAATAAAATTGTCATGATTAAATAGACAAAATGCATGGGAGAAAGAATATGTTTTCTGTCTCCTCTCCCAAAGTAGACATTGAGTCCAGGGTGTGCCATTCACTGCCATCGTAATTATCATGAAAGGTGATTTGGAATAAGTTGAGCTGACAAACTGAACTAGGGAAAAACATTATTCATGAATCACTCAAAATGCCACCCCCTCAGTGAAATCCTCTCCAATCCCACCATCAGAACGAATTGCTCCCTGGTCAGGGTTCCAGGCCATCTGTGTTTATACTTCACTTCTGAGACTTATCAGTTTTCCCTGTGCCTTGTTCTTCCATTGCACTGAAGTGTAGACTCACAAAAGCAGACTGTGCCATACCCATCTTTGTTTCCAGAATCAAGACTACCTCACAGTGCTTACAAGTATGCAGTCGTATCTATTGAATCAAATTCTTAGACCTTACTTAGAAATAAGTGAGCATATAAGCTTCTTTTATTTTTTTAAAGATTTATTTATTTATTAGAGCACGAGTTAGGGGGATAGAAGGAGAGGGAGAGAGTCTCCAGCAGACTCTGTGCTGAGCACAGAACCCTGGCTCTGAGATCATGACATGAGCCGAAACCAAGAGTCTGACACTTAACTGACTGCACCACCCAGATACTCTGAGAATATAAGCTTCTTTTAAAACTACTGTTATTTATTGAGCATGTATCATGGCTTCAAACTGCTAAATTCATAATGACCATGTGAAACATCATTATTTTCATTTAATAGATGAGAATAACTAAGGCTCAGAAAGGGTAAGGGCTTTGTTCAAGGTTACACTGTAAGTGGCAGAAACAGAATGTAAACGCCAATTCTGTCTGATACCGCTCCTTGGCAAGAAGAAAATAAGGATTGGACACTCCTTATTTTTAATACTTGATCCCTTATAATCCATCCTGAAGCAGGTTCCCACTATAGGAATGCTTTCTCTTTAGGATGGTCATTTTGCAATATTTTACCTCCATGTAACACCACATGTTTTATACGAATAGCACTAACATCAAGAAGACTGCCAGTACCCCTCCCCACTGGGCAATGCAGAACATCCAGGCATATGAGCCCTGTGAAAAGTTCTTGTGGACTGACATGATCTTTTGGATTGGTCTGGCTTTGTTTTGTTGCTGTCAGTGACTTGCTCCTTCCTCTGTTTTGATACACCTTATGTAGGCTATCACAACAATGCCCATACCGGTAGAACTTGTCTGCATCTGCTCATGGGATTGGCTTCCAACGACTTCACCTCAGAGCTGCAACATAAACCAACTCTTTTCCAGCTTGAAACCTATCCAGCCCTGCACAAGTGTACTACACGCATATCTGAGACAAGTCTGTTCAACTCCACTTGACATTTCAAAGGCTATAATTTGAAAAGTGGACCAAGCCCTTTAAATATACCGCTTCCCTCAGTTTCTTCAATTACACAATTTTTTAGTTCTTCTTTTTAATCTTTTTCTTAAATTTTTATTTATTTACTTGAGAGAGACAGCAGAGAGAGAGACAGAGCTTGCACACAAGCTGAGGGCAGGAGCAGAGGGAGAGGGAGAAGTAAGTTCCCCACCGAGCAGGGAGCCCGAAGTGGGGCTCAATCCCAGGACCTCAAGATCATGACATGAGCCAAAGGCAGATACCTAACCAACTGAGCCACCCAGGTGTCCCTTCTTTTTAATCTCTTAGCCACTTTATAACCTTGTGTTGGATTATCCTTTGCAAGAGCATTTGCATTTAATTTTCTCACACTAATCAGAACGGTGTGCATTTTAGTCATGCATGTGTTGGGAGTTAGGAAAGCCAATAAATTAATCACATATTAATAAGTAAATCAAAATAGAAAATATAGTAATGGAATATGTGTCTTAAGATGATTTAGCCCCCTAATTCAATGCTACCTACTAGCCCATCCAACTATAGCTTTCTTTTTTCTCTAAGTGCTATGGCCACCCATGGGAAAACAAATAAATATTGAGAATTAAAAAGACATTTTTTCTTCCAACAAATAAAGACCAGAGCATCTCCTATTTTCAGTGTAGAATCAGTGTGAAATTAAGACGCTCACACTAAGAGAACAATAGAAGCTACCCTGGGGAAAATGAAAGATGACAGCCATCCAAAGCAACAGAGGGACTAGAAGTCCTTCATGGTAGAACCCAGCACGCAGCCCTTCCCTCCAAAGGCAGGCTCTGAGTGCAGGAGCCTGGAGCAGGGGCGGGGAGTGTCCGAATGTCCTGCCCCTCCCCCTGGGGAAGCCAGGGTCGGGTTTGCAGTTATCACCACTCACAGCAGACAGGCAGCTTCCCTGCCAGGCCCACTCTTCATTCTCAGTGGGCTTGTTCAGCTCCATTTCCTGGAGAGAGCATCTCCTCACAGTAACTTCTATCACATGCTGTGAGCTTGCCTACGTTTGGGGCATGACATATTGATTTGCGGCACAATTATGTGGCCTGTCAAGGGACGACCAGAGAATCCCGCAGATGCTTCCCTGCAGATTGCCCTTTCCAAACTCACTGTTTCATAGACCGGCAAATCCCAGTGGAGTAAAGAGTTTAACACCAATGTGAATTTTCAAAGGAAAAACATCAAAGGTGTTTCCTCTTCCTCATCTTCTTGTTCTCCTAAGTGTCTAAGTATAAGGCAAGAACAAAGTGAGGAAGGGAGGAAACAGAAAAATAGGGACAGGACCTAAACTACAGATGCAGCCTCGCACAGGTAGCAGCAAGAAAGCCATGGTTCTGTGACCTCATAGAACACACCCGACCTTGGTCTTTCTCAGTCTGCCATAAATCTCAACAAATAAACTAGAAAGTTATTCTTTCCTCAGGGTCCTATAGACTTAAAAAATATCACAGTTTGCTGAATCCTGGAAACATTAGTACTGCGAATGGCACAGCCCAACACAGTTGACAGGGCCAAAAGAAAGCAAGTCAGGTCTTGGTTTCTAATTATCATTCTCTCCTTAATTTTTAATTGGCAGATCACTGTACAGGAGTAGTTCTCTTCATCTGTAAGAATGGACATGGCGAGTGCATTCCATAGGTATGGAGAGAGCGTGTGGGGGCATAAACTAGAGTTGTGTGAAGAATACATTCCATTGGGTGCATATCTGGACCATGAAGGATCGCTCTGGTGAGTCCTATGAAAATGTGGTGGTTGTATTTCTTACTGTGAGGACTTTCAGTGTATAAAATTTAAAAGGGGTGATAAACTAGACTGCTTGCTGCTGGGATATGTGCATGCATGTTTTTATTACTCCATGTAATTCTGAGAGCCTCATAAGGTTTTGTACAGACAGAGAGTTTAAATTATACCATTATGGTCTCTCTTCACCTTGACCTTAAATCTCCTTCATTCCCTCGTGAGGCTGGTGTTTGCCATATCCCCATCCTGTCTGTCACGCGGCATAGCACTCTCTCTCTGTCTAGTGCACCCTGGTCTCACAAAGTGAGGCCCCTTCATTCCACGTTTTCATTTAATTTTTATTTCATTTTTAGTTAAAGATAGAGTTGCATTCACTTAATCCTGTTTAGGTTTGCCCAGTCTTCAACTTCAACCTCCCCCTCATCTGCAGACTGCACGCTGTCTCCCAGCTGCCTTCCACTGACATGGGCATGATATTAGGAGGCAGGTCAGAACACTACAGTTGTCACAGGGCATCTTTATTCAAAGGTGTCTGCTCTTGGCTATTTGGACCTGATATATTTCAGTGTATTCCTGGTATGTGGGAGCATTTAAGTTCCAGAGTGATCGATGTCATATGATTACATAAAGAGATAATTGATTTTTAAATAAGTTGCTACATTTTTCTTTCTTTTCCTTCCCTTCCCTCCCCTTTCTTTTCTTTTCCTTTCCTTTCCCTTCCCATCCTCTCCTATCCTATCCTCTATCTCTCTCTCTCTCATTTATCAGTACTAAGTTGGCTCCTCTTCAAACATCCATGTCATACTTGGTGAGCACGACAAGGGGCAGAGAACTCTGCTCTGGTGGACTCTGTTGCATGAGAAAAACTCATTAGAAATAGAAATGTGGGGGAATGCCTCCTTGTCCTTACTGTCCCTGAGCTGTCCTGCCTAGCAGGTGCCACCTCCTACTCAATTGCAAACAAGAGGCTCACAATAGTTCTCCAGCAGCAACTCTGTTGTCATTATCACCAAGTGAGGTTTGGAGCCAGGCAGCCCAAATGCCATTCTAAGTTTGTAAAACATGCAAGGATACAGGGGTGAGTCTGCAGAACTCAGCACACGTGCTCTGAAAACAGGGAGGAGGCCCCAGGCAGAACTCATGAAAATGGACTGTGCAGGAAGTCCCTGAAAAATAATGAGAACCAGGTGGATCTAATCATTTGAGAGAGGGAAGGGTGATGATCTTGAGCAGATTTATCCTCTTGATTCATCAGGTCACAAGGCCCGACCGCATTCTTTACAATATCTGTTGACCCATGCACCATCCCTTTTTTCAGTTCATATGCTGTTAGCTTTTTTTTTTTTTTTTTTAACATACTGTTTTAAGACTCACTTGGCCACCTTGGAGAGACAAACACCATGAACCATTTCACAGCTCAGCTTTCTAAAAATAAGCACATGCAACTATGTGAAATTATTCTGAGTTTCTAAAAAGCAGGATGAAAAGTACAAAAAGTATGAGGAGTGAAGGGTTGTCCTATTACCTTATGTACACTGCCACAGTGAAAATTCTTGCCATTTCACCATTTCGGTGGCTTTTGTTCCATTTGCAAAACTAACTAGCCCCATACATATAGTCTTTTGATTTATGGATGTATTTTGTCAACACTTTCATATTTTTGAAATCAGGTATACATTGCATAATTAAATGAAAAGCAACCTGCCAGTTCCCAGAAATTTAAGTTCTCCTTTGTGGTAATTGCCTGAACATGTATCAGTGTAAGCATGTATAAAGGTAGCTGTCTGGGTATTGCCGCCTCCAATAAGATGTTTGCTATTATTGTGCCACCTGTGGTTGAATTTCATTGAGAATTGTCATTCATTAATTGCCATATGAAATACCTTAAAAATTACTACAATCTAGCAGGGAAATGAGAAGTTATTAAATGCAGAAGGTTGTCATCTGCCAGATGGTTTAGAAACAGGCAGTGGGAACCACCAATCGCTCAAAATAGAGCACAGATTTTCCAAAGCTTGGTTTGGAATGACATGACACATTCAGGTGCTAGTTAGGATTATCACCAGGGGATTGATTGAGGCCAACAGCTTCTGACTAAAGTTTGAACGAAATTGCTGTATTCTTAAAATGTTGAAGTCAGTTAAACAATAACAACTAACCACCTAGCAAGTTTAACAAGATAGGGGAAGCAGGTAAAAACACACGGATCTTCAGGTACTCCGAGTAAGTACACATGATGCTAAGAATTTCAGCGTTATGATTGCAGGTTATAATAGATCTAGAGTAAGTTTTACAGGTGTTTTAGATCAATGATACATCTTCAAGTCCTGTGGAAACAACAGAATTGAATGAGAGAATTCATTGATAATACCATGGTTGATAGTGGGAAAAACGACAAGATTATAATCTCACTTTTACTTTGGCACTGAACATGAGTTGGCAATGTTTTCTTTGGGCTATGACTGAGAATATATTTCTTTTGCTGTGTCTTTACATTCATCTCAGTAGAGCTAATTGAACTTGAATACTTCTAAAGACCTGTCTTACTCTTGCAGTGATGTCCCATGCTTTGGTAAGTAAGCACAAATACTACAGGTTCCATTTATTTGTTGGCCTCACTCTTTCTTAGGCCAAGCAGCCAGAACAATTCATGGGCATAAATTTCATTTAAAAAAAAAACTTGGTGCCATTGTTGAGGAGAAGATGCAATCTTTGGCCACACCTCTCATTTAAAATATATGTCTGGAGTACTGTGCCATGGCTCCCAGCCCATTTGCCCTTATGTAGGATGACCTACAGTTTCAATTTGCCTGGGGCAGTCTCAGTGTGTGTCTGTGGTCCAAGTGTCCCTTCTACTTGAACCTTTTTCCAGACAAAAGCATCCCTTATTGGATAGTAAATAATACAATCACTCTACTCATGCATAACATGCTAAGGAGACTAAAGAAAAAAAAAAATTCTCAAGAAAACAGATGTCAGTCCACTCAAACTCCTCACATGTGTGGAGTCTACCAACTACCCAGAGAAAAATCAATACCAGTCTTGCACATCGTTCTGTCAAAGCAAAGAGCATCAATATAAAACCCAGCAGTATCCCCAGGACATGGCTTTAGTATATCCTGATCAAACATTTGGTGACAGAACATGTACCTTGTTGTATGCTATGTGGAATTCAGGTTAGTGGACAAGGAAAATTACCATGTGTCATTATGCAGGTACTCCTTCCTCACAAAGCTCAAAGGTGCAACCTCAGCCTGACTGTGTGCATATAGGCCTGAGAACACACAGCCATCCAGGAGGCTGAACGTGGTGTAATCACGACTCACTCCCTCCTTCAGATGACACATGTTGAAAAAAGGCAGCAACAGAGTGCAAATCTGGCATATTCCTGCCTAAGGACACTAAGTGTGCAGAAATGCAAGGCCCACATACATCTAACAGGTATTCTTGGAAAAGATGACATGCTTTGTTCTACTTAGAAGTATTAAAACACTCTGCTGTTAACAGTAATATCAGCGAGGTATCTTGTACAATAGTTCATTTCTAAATGGAAACTCTTATCTAGAGTAGCTAGAAAACTCAAGTACAGAAAACTAATCCAGGCTTCTCTGATGGAAAGAGAGGAGAAGAAGAGTGCAGGGCCTTCATATTGCTTCAGGAGTTTCACTTCTCTTAGGGATCACATCACTTGACCACATTGTCCTTTCTTTTAATGCAAAAGTAAATTTAGGTACCACATTCCTGGTTTTTTGTTCCTAAGGTAATTTCATTTGTATACATTTACTTTCTTTTCTAGAGCTTTGTTGTAACATTAATTAGATTGCATAATTGTTTTCAAGTTTTTCTTTCACTTTTACCCTGTTACCAGTTATGATAATTGGAACTTGAAATTTTTATGCTCCTGGCATATTTTAGATGTACCAGTTTTGTTTAACTGGGTAGCTGATGTTTGAAGAAGGCAAAGAGATTGACTGCCCCCTCTTCCCTCTGGAGAAAAATCTGGATTGCGAATGGGGCTGAGCGTCCCAGCCTCCCATATACCCTTAGATCATGGTTTTTATGAATTGCCCAGATCGAGATATGTTTCTTTATGAGGAGAACTGGAAAGAAACAGACAGGACAAGATGGGCAGTTTTGTCAGTCTAAGACACCTCAGGTTTTTGGGTCTCTCCCTCCCCTCCCAATCCCAGATAACCCCACCCTCCACATCCACCCCAGCTTGGCATTTTTAATGTCTGTGGGATTTTCCATTTCCTGTGTGGCTGATGCAGAGCTATGAGGTATCCACTGGTGTCCTCATGACCTGAAAGGACTTAAGCATGAAATCCAGGAAGGGACTAGAGAGACAGCTCCTCTCTCTTATGTACTGAGAAGCCATTTTACAGCAGAATAAAATTAGATTCCCTCAAAGGACTTTTTAAAACCCAGAATTCTAGTTGGCAAGATTGTTGTAAATTTTCCATTTTCCTCTTTGATCCTCAAATAAGCATGCAAGATAGGGAGGCCTGTATAATCCCTTAAGATCATTTCAATTTGAAGATGTATTGACACTCATAAATTTTCTACTTGGTGACTTTTCATTCAGTTGAGCATCTGATTATGCTAGATAGTTTTGATAATGCTGTGCTTTCCATATAAACCTGGGATTCATCTTTTTAAAAGTAATTTCAGACTTGCAAACCAGAGCCAGCATATGCAGAACTAAACAAATTCCTCGTGTCTGGTTAGCTACAGTCCATGCTGAGTATGTTCTCTGCACATGTTAACAAAGAACTCAGTAGGTTTTGAGCTGTGGTTATCTGCTAGTAGGCTCTGCACTGTATTGCTGCTAAACAGGAGACTGGAGGGCTATTTTCCAAGAGAGAGGAGACAAGAACAGAGAGAGAAAATGGCAAAGGAATTCTTCCTCAGAGGGTCATTATTCCAGATGTACCACATTCCTTAGCATAAGACTTGCTTCTTTCCTCAAACATTAACTCATCTTGTTT